AATTCCACTGTTCGTTATCATATACATGAGAGTACACATATATATATGGTGAGAGAACGATGACAGTGTCGGATGAACAATCAACATGAACTTGGGCTCCTTTTTATTGGGCTTTTTTTTGTGCTGATGGGCTCCTTTTTGGGGGGATTTTTTTTTAATGGGCTTTTTTTTTTATTGAATGAAAATGTTCTGGGTAAGAAGGTTTATGTGTTTGTGTTTTTCTGTGGTTACATCACTGCTGATGATGTATTTCTTGTATTGTTTATTATATGTATTGCTTCTTTTCCCTTTTTTTTGTTTTTCTTTATTTTCTCCAAGTCTCTCAAGGATTCTATTTGATAGACACACTGAGAATGACATTATGTCACACATTACCACTGTTTACGTCCTTTAGCTGTTATGATTGGATTTGACCGCAGCAGGTGCCGCTGCTCTTGTTAATGTGTGTAGCCTTTGATATTGCATTTATCGTGGTGATGTTGTTATTGTTGATTCTGAGAGTATTACTATCGATGTATACATGTGTTTAATTCTCTGTTGGATCTAATATAATATGTATATTTCTGTTGGCATTCCGTATTTTGTTTTGCTATTTGTTGCGTATTCTTTAACAGTGCATCCGCTCATCCATTGACGTCTAATTACAGCAGTGAGTGTACTATCGTATGGATATTACTGGTCTCATTTAACTGCATCTGTAACGGGTTCGTTACATTTATAAGCATTAATTAGTGATGTGGCTATGTTTGTGGGTTTCTGTGTATTTCAAATATTCACTTTATTATTTCTTGATAATTGACTATACTTCAGTCTCCTCTTTTCCACAGGTACGTCCAGGTCATTTGAGAATGGTCTCTAATGGAACCTAAGAGTATTTTGCACCTCTCCTGGTTTGTTTGTTCCATTGTTTTTTGTTCTTTGTTTTTCTTGGTAATGCTGTTGTTGGTGTAATTGGGGGAAAACAATGACACTGAAGCAAAAAGATGGAATGTTCAGTTATTTAGTACATACAATGCTGTACGTAAGACACCAATGATAATAGTATCACAGGGGACTATGTAAGTGTTTGTTTGGGGATGGGTTAAACAATATCCCTGCTGTATTGTTGTATGAATATCATTCTTTCTACTGTGTGATCTCTTTTATGCCTTGTCTCTTTTTTATTGTTTTCTGTGTTTATTTTATTTTTTCCCTTTTTTTCGCCATTATCCTATACACAAGTCGTAATAATTGTTTTTCCATCAAGTTTACATTTTTGCTATTCACATGATGAGACATTCACTCCTCCAAGTGGTGTTATTACTGTTCATCTGCGGTGCTATGGCCGGACCTGCATACGCCTGTAATTACGATGAAATCAAAGAGAAGAGCGGTCCTCCTGTCGTTGTGGTGAGAGAATTACCGAAGAAAGGAGAGGGCGCGTGGCAGGCGTATACTGTGTCGACATCTAATAAGGAGAATAGTAATGAGGGTTGGGAACCACTGCGCATCAAAGTATCATATGAAGATTTGAAAAGTGATAAGTACTGTGTAAAAGAGAAAGAAAAGCGCATGGATTTTTTAAATGGGGAATCTGCTGATTGTCATGCTCATGATATTATGCTGCGAGGGAAAGAGGAAGCGATCAAAAATGAAATTCTCCCTAAGGCTATCAAATTGCACACTGATCGTCTACTCGTTCAGCGGATGAAAACACCTTTGCAAGTACCAAAGTTCAGCAAACCTTCTGTTTGTTCTCACTTCACAATTCCAGGCGACCGCGCACCTTATGGTGTAGAAAATGCTGATTTTTTATTGTATGTGGCTGCTGGTCCAAGTAAAAAACTGACCTCTTTTACTTGGGCTGTAACATGTGCTATTGATGATCAAAGTAAACGTCCAATTGTTGGTGCCATGAATATTCATCCAATGCATGCAGATTTTACACGAGTTAATGTTCGTTTGGCTGCACATGAACTCGCACATGCTCTTGGTTTTGACTACGAAAGGATGAAGGAGCGTGGAATGACAAGGTATAGTAGCAGTTACCATGACAACCGTGCGGTTATTATATCTGCAAAGGTACTGGAAAAAGCAAGGGATCATTACTCCTGTCTTAGTATCGAAGAAGTTGAATTGGAACATACAGCTGAAGGGAATATAACGTCCCACTGGAATCGGAGTAACATGAAGGATGAGTTGATGAGTATGGTTTCAAAAGTTGGACATATTGAGGGCATTGGTTACTACACAGCATTGACAATTGCAGCATTTGAAGATTTGGAATTTTACAGGGGAGTTTTCGAGAAGGCAGAGAATATGAGTTGGGGATACCATGCTAATTGCACTTTTCTCGCTGCCACTTGCAAGGAGAAGGACAAGCAAATAGAGGCGGGTGACTCATGCAGTGTGTACCGAGCGGGTTCCTGTTCATCTGATCGTTTGGGTTTGACAAAATGTATTCCACCCAAGGAAGGGGAATCCATCTGTCCTATCTTTGAGTCAGATCAGAGTTTTTTTTGTTCCACAGAGGAAGATGTACCAGATAGAGGTTTGGGATTAGTGGGAAAGGATTCTTGGTGCTTTGATGTTGATTATCTGAACCTTAAAATCGAGGAAAATAATATGAAACATGGTGTGTGCGCAGCAGTGAATTGCAGTGATAATGATGTGTTTAAGGTACAACTTAAAAAGAATGGTGAGTGGTACAATTGCCCAAAGGAGGGGGATGAATTTATTATACCAAATAAGACAGACAATCTTACGCACGTGAAAGGATGGATAAGGTGTCCCAAATACTATGAAGTGTGCACTATGAAGTCCGATGGAAGCAGTCGTCTCACTTCGCATGTACAGGAAAATACCCCACTGGAAATAAAAGCTAAATGGGTAAGCAGCACACCAACTAATTCCAATATAAACGACCCTCCGTATTCATCAGTTCAGAGGGGCCAAAGTCCCCAAACGGTGACCGTTAATAATGCTCAGCAAACCACAAGCACTACCACTTCTGCAGATGCAAACAGACAAAGAAGTTCCACAACACCAACTGCTACAGTAAATAATAATGGTAAAACCACAAGGAGCAGTACCGAATCTACAACAACCCAGGAATCCGTTAAACAGGAAGATACTAACAAGAACAGTAAAAAGGCATCTAATCGTCGTAAAGATAACAGCAAGGCTACAAAGGTTTACTCACCACTTGTACTACTTGTTCTCGTTGTTTCGGCTCTGCTGATATCATTTTGATCCTCGTATTTGCTAAATACAATTTTTTTAAATTTTTGCTACTTTTTTTGTTTTTGCTACTCTCTCTCTCTTTCTGTGTGCAAGTTCATCGTTACGAGGTGGTAAACTACAGAGAGAGAGGTTGCTTGCGTTTCACTATACATGTTTGTAAAACGATAATAAGGATACTAAGAGTAGTTCTGTAATAGAATAACAATCTCACATAGTCAGTTTTGTTACATGTATATCTCTCTGTGTGTGGACTTGTGAGTGGTAATCTTGTGCGGGACCTCTGCATCTCGAAAGAAAGATTAAAAAAAAATTTTTTTTTTGCTCTTTAACTTGATGGAAAAACATTTTTTATTTTGCTGGTATCCTTTGAGGATGTACAGATCCACTGCGGTTTGTTTCTCTTATATTGGTAAAAAGTATTTTTGTGAAGAAGTTTTTTTTTTCTTGGACAGGAACGTATAAAGTTGGAAAAATTGAATTTTTTTTGTGGGGGCTCTCGGGGTGGTGGGAATATGTTGAAAGGGTGGAGGATAATCATTTTTTTTTCTTTTTGAGTATTCACTGGGTGACTCTGCTTCTCGTTGAGGGCTGTAAGATGAATTGCTATATTCTGTTCCTATGTTAGGGTATGACCATGATGGAATATATGTATGTTAAGTGTGTTTTCTGTTTTTTCTCCTTCTCTTTGTTGATTGTTTTTGTAGTGTGAGTAGTGTGTTGGGTATTCTCTTCTCTCTCTAGTCTTGTTCATGTGTTCCCAGGGATATACCCACAATAGTGTGCTCTGATTGGTTCTTTCTGGTGCACACAGTGTTCTCTATGTGATGCCAAAGGAGTGGAGTGTTTTTTTTCTTTTGTGTATTTGTATAAATAAGAAACGAGAGATGACAGTGCTTGCCCAAACAACCACGCTGTCACTATTGGATTGTTAGTGTGCAAGTCTATCGTCTTCTTCTACACTATGGGAGCACTGTAGTGCTGTATGAGTGATGCTGCAATAAGAGAGAGGATTTAAACAGCATTGCTGTGAGTGTACTATCGTAAGGATATTACTTGAAGCTTGTAAAAGGGAATATGCACCCTTAAGTGCTTTGGGGTATTAATGGGTAGATGGTTGCGATATTTTATTATGTTGCATTTAATCGTTTCCCTTGTTATGCGTTAAGCGCAACGGAATAGACGCTTATGAAATATATAAATGTTTGGCTTTTCTTTTTGCCGTCTTTTATTATTTGAAAGTACAATTTTGGATTTGTATTCCCATGATCAGTGAAGTGATTTGGGTCTGTATTTTTTGAAAGGGGTGGGGTAAATGTAAATCGGACCACAAGGGTTGTTTTTACCATTATGTTGATTGTGATATATATATTTTTTTACCCGTTTGTGAGACCTTTGTTCATAATTTAATATTCTTCAGTGTTCTTGTTTGTAGGATACTATGCAATGGATGTTATGGTTTAATTTATTGCATGCCTGTTTGGGTTATGGATTTGCAAACGGATGATTGCCCACAACTCAGAGCAGAATTTTCATGTCTGTTCCCCTTTTCTTGTGTTAAACATATTCTGTGTGTGTGCGTGTGGGTAAGGTGTACTTGTCACTCAGTGTTATCTTTTCAAGAGGGATTATGCTAATGTATCCCAGGAATTCCAACAAAAGTGGTATTTGCTTATATCAGTGAGTTTCCCTTTTTCCAAGTGGTATACTCTCTCCCGATGCTTAGTGATTCATGTGATGCTGGGTTGTGGTTCATTCTATTCTGGAATTCACCTAATGGCATCTGAGAGGCACAAGGTGAGATGATACATTATGCAGAGCCATGACTTTAGCCATTGTGGGAATGTCTGCAGTTGTTAAACCTGAATGGGATGGTTTCAAAACCATTGGTCTTGTGTTTGGAAGTGTGGATAGATAATATTATTGGGTAATAAAAATGAGGTTATTTGTTTGGGAGTGTGAAAGGGGAGAAATTTGGGTAAAAAAAAGATTGTAATACGATGATGGTTGAGTTTGTCTCTGGATCCACCCGTTACATTTTCTTGGGAGTCCATTTCCATCACAATTCTCACTTGACTGCACGGAGCAGCACATGTAACTGTAAATTATACAAGACACACATCCAGTGAAAGATGGAACTGTTTTAGAGTGGGAAATGGATGGAATACCGATCTCTACATGCAGGAATGATACTTGTGGTTCATTTCGCCATTTACCACTTTTTTTTTATTTATTTACTTGGAACGCTTCTTTGACAATTTTTCCTTCTACCATTATGCAGTAGGGGTGTACATTGTTGCGTACACTTCTCCGTCATAATAAACACATTATCATCAAGGAAGAGGTTGATGTTTTCTGCCATATTCATTACATGCACCTCATTGATAGGTATGTATGGAAGGGGGAGTGTATTATTTCTCAGCAACTGTAAAGATTGAAGTCACCATTGGAGTCAACTG